CACCTCAGCAGATGCCAGCGCCGCGGCCGCGAGCGGCGGCGGCGCCGCCGCCGGCCCCGCCGCCAGCCCGGAGCCGTCGGCGAGCCGAGGCTCGCCGGGCGCCCGCGGGGCGCCCTCCAAAGAGGCGGCCAGGCGCGGGCCGCCGCAGGAGCCGTCAAAGGACGGCCACATCTCACGCGCGCTCGGCGCAGACGCCGCGCGGCTCCCGCCGCCAGACGCTGCGGGATCCGGCCCCGCCCCAGCTCTCGCCGCCGCTGATGGCGGCGCCTCCGCGGCGGCGTCGGCGGCTGCGCGACCGGCTGCGTCGGGCGCCGCCACCGCCGCGGATCCCGCCGCCTCTCTCCGCACGTCGAGCCCAGCCTCCGCCGCCGGCGCGGCCTGTGCCGCGGGTGCAGCCGCGCCATCCGCGGCGAGAGGAGCCCCCAAAGCGGCCTCGCCCGGATCTGCAGGCAGACTGAAAGCCACGTGCCTGCCCGACCTCGGGGACCTCATCAGCAGCGCCTCAGGCGACCTGATCGCCGGCTGCGGCCGCTGCGCAGGCCCGGCAGAGCCCGCCCCGTCGGGCGGGCTCTGATCCCGCCGCCCTGCGGCGACGCGTTGCCGCCCGGTGGCCGCCTCGCCTCTGCTGCCGCTGCTGCCGCTGCGGCTGCTGCTGCAGCTGCTGCTCGCCGCGACGGGGCCGGCCCCGCAATGCCGCGGGGGGCTTTCGCTGGACCACGGCTGCAGGAAGCCGGCAAACGGCGACGCGCCGTCCCGCGCGGGCGGCGCCGCCGGCGTCGGCAGCTGCGGCGCCGCAGCCTCCGCCCGCGCACCCGCTGCGCCATTCAAGTCAACCTGCGCCTCTCGGCGCTCGCTTTGCTGCTGCTGTTGCTGCTGCTGCTGCTGCTGCTGCTGCTGCTGATGATGATGATGATGATGATGCTGTTGCTGCTGCTGGTGATGCTGCTGCTCCTGATCCGGCTGCTGCTGCTGCTCCTGATGCGGCTGCTGCTGCTGCTCCTGATCCGGCTGCTGCTCCTGCTGCTGCTGCCCAACCGGCTGCTGCAGGTGACTGCTACCTGGCTGTTCGTCTTCCTGCCCCTGCTGCGCCTTGCTCAGCTGCGCCTGCTCCTGCTGCACCTCCTGCTCAGGGCCTAGCACCGCCCCGGCCCCCGCCGCCGGCCCCACGTCCGCTCCAGGTGGCGGCAGCGCAAGCAGCGGCCCCCGTGGCCCCGGCACCAGCCGGGGCGCCGCAGGCAGCGCCGTCGGCGGCAGCAGCGGGAGAGCAGAGTGGGACCAGGAGGGCGGTCCGTACTGCCTGTCTAGCAGGGTGACGATCTCGGGCATGCTCGGCCGATTGGAAGGGTTCAGGTCCATGCAGCGCGCAGACAGCTCAATAAGGAACGGGTCGCCCGACGAGGGCCGTGGCAGGGCGGCGCCTTGGTAGCCGACCAACCCCACCACCTGGGTGGTCACAGGGGTGTTGGAGCGAGGGTTCATAAGGGGCAGCGCCGGCAGCCGAGCCGCCGAGCCTGCTTGTCGGGCCGGGGCAGCGCGACGGCCCGGCCCCGATTGGGTGGGAGGCGGCCGCCAAGCGCAAGGCGCGCCGCGGCGCGGGCGCTGGCCCCACCTGCATCGCGTTGTACGCCTCCCACGGAGCCTGCCCCGAGACGAGCTCCCACAGGACGACGCCGTATGAGTAGACGTCGGCGGCCTCCGTCACCGCCTCGCAGCGCAGCGCCTCGGGCGCCATCCACTCCGGGGTGCCGCCCTGCAGGGGAACAGGGATGCGCGCGCGTGCGACAGCGCCGGCGCTTGGCCCAAGGGCTCCTCCGCCGAGCACGCAGAGCTGCGCCCGCAGTCAAAGGTCGCGCGGGTCCGGACCGCAAAACGCTCTGCACATGCCTCCGGCCGCGCTCGCCTGCGCTGAGGTGGACAGGTACGTCCGGTACCGCGCGCGCGACAGCCCAAAGTCTGCCAGCTTTACGCGGCCCCGGTCGTCCAATAAGATGTTGGGCGACTTCAGGTCCAGGTGCAGGATCGGCGGGCTGCGCGTGTGCAGGTACGCGAGCCCCCGCGCGACGCCGACGGCGACGGCGCGCTGCAGCTTGGGGTCCAGCGCCGCGGCCGGCCGCAGCGGCTCGGCGGCAGCGGGCCCGGCGCGGCCCGCGGGCGAGGGAGAGGGCAAGGGCGGCGCGGCGGCGGGCTCGGGGCCGCGTGCAGCGCTGATCGCGTTGTAGAGGCTGCCGCGCTGCATGTACTCCTGAGATGCGGGCGGCGGGCGGTGTGCAGCAGCGGGACAGAGTTGTGGCGCGCGCGCCAATTGCAGAAGCTGCGAGGCTCCCAGGGTCCAGACAAGTGTTTGCCCCTCCCACTTTGCAGCGCGCGGTTTGCGACCCTCATGCGCTCTTGCGGCGTGCGCGATGCGAGAGCACCCTCATGCGCACATGCACATGATGGTTGGTCGCATCCGTACGCGTAAGACGGCCATGCGCTGTGTGTGGTGCCATAAGCAAACAACAAGCAAACACCATCGCATGCGCCCAACACATACACATGAGCACAACACATGCGCATGCTCATACTCATGCACGTGCACATACCACACTACAGCATCACACATGCGCATGCAGACAAGCCACGCCCATCACAAGACACATGTGCATGCGCATCAGGCATGCACATGCACCGCAGCTGAAGGCATGCACATGCATGCAGCACACAAACCCAGTTTGTCAACAACCCCACCTGGACGATGCAGAGCTCTGGCATGGTGCAGAACCCGATGAACAGGATCAAATTGGGGTGCCGAACGCGCGCCAGCATGATGACCTCAGATGTGAAGCGCTCGATGGTGCCCGGATCGTGCGCCAGCAGGCGCTTGACCGCGACCACCGTGCCCTGCGCGCCACCGGGCACAGGCGCGCGCGGGGCGGCAGCGGCGGCGGCCGCGCCTCAGCTGCAGCGGCGCGCATGCTGGAGGGCCACGCGCACCAGCGTCCAACACTTGTGCCATGTTTGAAGTGCAGCCGCGGCAGGCCGCCTGAACGCGCTCGCATCTGGAGCCAGCGCCCTCGCGCATCACGCACGCACCAGCGTAGCCTCACCTCATACTTGCCGATGAAGACCTCTGCAAAGCCGCCGACCGCCAGCCGCCGCCCAATAAGGACCTTCCGGGGATCCAGCTCCCACTCGCAGCGCGGCGCAAACCTGGCGCGGCCGGCGCCAAGCGGGGACAGCACAACGGGCGGCGCGAGGGCGAGGTCCAGGGGGCGAAACGCAAGCTGACCAAACGCGCCGCCGGCCGGTTGCTGTGCCGGGGCCGGGCCCTGCGGGTGGCGGCCGCCCTGCGGCCTCTTCAGCATCACTGAGAAGGACGCCTCTTCACGCTGTGGGCCATCCGACGCGCCGCGGTCCGCTGGGGACCCCACGCCGGCGGTCGGTGCCAGGGATGAGCCCTCCCCGCCACCACTGCCGTCGCTGCCGCTGCCGTCGCTGCCGCCCCTGGCCTCGGCGCCCGTCGAGGCGGGCGGAGAGCCTGCTGGCGTAGTGCCGCCGCTGCTGGGTATGCTGCCGCGCCGCCGGTGCGCCGCCGCCCCTATCGACGCCGTGTCGGACGCCTCGTCCACCCAGCACTTGCACGCTGCAGGTATCGGCCGCGCCTTGCGGTGCAGCACCTGCGCCGCCCCCTCCCCCTCGTCAGGCTGCTCCACCACCATGCACGGCGCCGCGGCGGCCGCGCCGCGGCGGCAGCTGCCGCTGCCCGCGCCGCCGCCGCCCTCGCCCGCGGCCGCCTCGTCGCGCCGGAACGCCGCCACGGCGCGCGCATGGATGGCGGTCAGCGGCTCGGCGAATTCGGCTCGAAAGCCCTGCGTCAGCCGCACATCCACTGAGTGCTCGTCCACCTGCGCGCGCAGCGTTACAGAATCACGTCGGTTGACGCGCTCGCGCAGCTGCCCTGCACGCCCTGAACGCACGGCCCCGCTCTGCATGGCGCGTCCTCCCTTCGTGCCGTGCGCCTGCGCATGCGGCTGGCGCGCGAGCGCAACGCCGCCGCGCACCTTGCGCACATCGACGACGGGCCCCTCAAAACCGCTGACGTGGTCAGGCATAACAGGGAAGACGCGCAGGCTGTCGTGGACCAGTAAATGCGAGAGCTGCTGCTGCCGCGCGACCGGCTGCGGGGCGAAGGATAGGCGTAGGGTGCGCTTGGGCGCAGCGAGGCGCTTGGCGCGGCACTGCAGCACATGGAATGCCAGCTGCTGGCAGAGAGAGCCGCAACAACCTTGAGCCACGAACCATTGCGCAAAAGAGTGCCATACTCACACTGCTGGCATCTCAACAATTTACAACACACTCACCAGGTGCAGTGAGAACTCGCCATTTGAAAGCTGTTCGGGTGCTGCATTAGTTGGCGCCACAAGGAGCGGCGCCTGCTCCGGCTGCTGCCCGTCATCCTCTCCCTTTAGCTGCTGCTGCTCATCCTGCCACTGATGCCCCTGCTGCTGATCCGCCGGTCCTTGGTTGTGCTGCTGCTGGTGCTGCTGCTGCCGCAGCAGCTTCTGCTGCTGCTGGTGCTGGTGCTGGTGCTGGTGCTGCTGCTGCTGCTGCTGCCGCTGTGATTCCTCACTGTGTGCACCGACATGCCCTGCGCCCTCTGTGTGGCAGCCGCCGCCCTGACCGCTGCATTCCGCATAGGCCATGAGCTGTACGGTGTTCATGTCGCCAAGGCCGTGGCCGAGGCCGTGGGACTCCGCATGCGGCAGGGACCCAGAGAGGCGCGCGTCGACATCCAGCGCGTCGCCTGCGCGCATGGTGTCAGCAGCACGAATACAGCAGCTCCCTTTGCTTCAGCTGTTGCAATTTTATAGTATCCAACCATTCTAGCCAGCTTGACGTGCGATGCGTGCGCCTTACGCCCTCATCAGCGGGGACGCGGGCGCACCTTCTCCTCCTCCACTCATGCAGGAACTAAACCATGCGTGCGCGTCGTTCCTGGCAGGTTGCCGCGCCCCTGGGCCATTGATCTTGCTCGCGCGATGGGAGCCCGTTAGGGATCCGCAGCCACCACCGGAATGGCTACCAAGCAACAGCGTCTACACAACAGACGCTGGTGAGCCTCTGCTGTTTGGCTCAAGGGGGTCAACGTCGGGATGTCTGTTCAAATCGGCCGTGCTCCTCATTGGCTGTATTCCTCAACACACAATACAAGAAATATGATTACCAAAGACTTGGCACGACATCACAATTGCAGGAATCTGCAGTGGGCGCAAATGCACCCGGCAGGCACGCCGACAAGGCAGGGCACCGTGGCCGCCAGCGGCTGCGACGTGATCGTGGTGGTTGCGCACACCTGTCCTATCACTATGCACACTGCAAACCAGGAGCACCAAAAGCATTGAGGTGGCATACCTACTGTCAGTGACCATGCATTGTGCCGGGATGCAGAGGGCAACAAAAGGCACGTCCACTTGCCTGCAACGAATAACATCAACATGCCCGAGCCGCGAATCACTCGTCTGACGCCGGCCGCTTCCTCTTCCGCGGCCGTCCCTTCTTCTGCTGCTCCTGTGAATTGACGCCACCAACCGCCACCTGCTCTGGACGCACCGTGTGCTGCTGCTTCGACTGTCCCTGCACATGGCCCGCGGCACTCCATGTGCTGGGGCCGATGCTGGCCAACGCACGCACGGCGACCGTTGCCGACTCCTCTGCTGTAGCCCGCACACCGTGCAAGGTCGCCACCACCACATTCCCCCAACCCCCCTCCTTCTGCCGCTGCTTATGCTCCTGGTGCTGCTTGAGTTCCTGCTCGTCACGCCCTGCGCTCTCCGAGGCACTAGCCTGTTCAACAGCCCCCCCGCTGTCGCTGCTGCCGCCGCTGCTGCTGTCGTCCCCAATGCTGCAACCTGCGCCCGTCTCGCCGCCGTCGGCCCTCTGCTGCTGCGGCGCTGCCGGCGGTGCAGCGGCGTCCGACGCGCGCACCGCCTGCGCCAGCGGCGGCTCTGCTGCCAAGGGCTGCACACCGGCTTCAGCCACCGCCACGTGCCGCAGGCAGCCGCACGCCGCGCACTCTTGGACGTCTGGCTGATGCCGCAGCTGGCGGCAGTGCGACGCGTAAGACAGCAGGTCGTCGCCAAACTCGCGGCCGCAACCGGGCGTGCTGCACACCAGCTTGAGCGGCGGCTGCACGACGCCGAGCGGCTGGAAGCACGTGGCGCAGGGCGAGGGGGAGCGGTGCCAGAGGCGCAGGCCGCGGAAGACTTGGCCGGCGATGAGCACGTCCAAGGCGGCATATTTCACCTGGAGCGTCGGGGACCAAAGGTTGGGGGCATGAGCGGGGAAAGGGGGCGAGCAGGGCAGGGTTGCGCAAGGGCACGCCCGGGCTCGCAGGGCGAGCGGACAGCTGAGGCATGCGGCGCGGCCTGTTGCAACAGGTGGCCCGAGCCGCCGCGGCCGCCGCGCCCGGGCCCGCACCTGCTGGCGCGTCAGCGTCCGCGACTCCCAGTTGGACATGGACACCCGCTTCGACTTGGGCAGCGGCGACCCCAGCACCGCGTTTGTGAGCCGCGCGAGCCCGTAGCCGTTCCAGCCCAGGCCGTGCGCCACGAGCTGCAGGTCCAGGAAGCCGGGGATCGCGCCGGCGCCCAGGCCAAACGTCCTCTGCATCTTCGCCTCGTCGGCGGACGCCCAGCTGAACCCGAGGATCGTGACCGTCGGGTCTGTCAGGAGCGCGACCAGCTCCGCCGCGAGCCTGTACTGCATGCGGCAGGTGCGGACGAGCAGCGCGACGCGCGACGTCGCGAGCTGCACCATGGCCACGGGCGTGAACTTGGTGCCAAACTGGGGGCGCCACTCGAGGTCGATGGCGATCACGGGGTCCTCCATGCTCGCGCGCAGGCGCTTGATGGCGTGCGGAAGGTACAGCGGGTTTTCGACCACCAGCACCTGTTCGGTGCAGGGGGTCGATGGGGCAGGGTTGGCGCGGCAACGCCGGTGGGCGTGGAGAGTGCGCAGGGGGCCGTTGAGGAGCCACCAGGGGCCACCAGGGGCCAGGTGCTGCAGACGCATGATGGCGGGCGAACCACCACCAAAATCCACCACTCCCGCCCGTTGCAACAGCATCCCGCACGAGAGCGCAGCGTGAGCCCCGCCCCCGCAGCCATGGTCGAAAGCGGGCAACGCAAGGGCCTGCCCCCACCTGCAGGCCGTGCGGCATCTGAAGCCTGTCGTAGCCGGGCGCGACCTTGAAGCTGCTAAATGAGTCAGGGTCCGCATTCATGACGGCGGGCCAGTTGATACCAGGCACATGCACCTGCGCGCGTGAGGTGTTGGCGGCATGGGTAACACGCTTGAGGCTTGGCCCGTCTCGCGCGCCAACAACCTCGCATTGCGAATCAACGTTTGCTGCTGCTGTTGCAAGCCTCAAGCGTAGGGTGTGAGCGTGTACACGGCGAGATGGCAAGGGGTGCCAAAGCCGTTGAGCAATCTCACCGGCATGTGGCACCAGCCGTGGGCCTTGGGGTGCGAGCAGGTGCTGTCACAAGCTGGAACCGCTCCCGGACTCCGCTGCGGTGACGTCGCCGGGGCGGGGATCGGCGCTGCCTCCCCGTCTGAGGCTGGGCCCAGCTTGGCCGTGGCTGCATTGCTGCCGCCGCCGCCACCGGCTCCCACAGCCGCAGCCGCGTCCGCGCCCGCGGACGACAACGCACGGGAAGCGGAAAGGCTGCTGCCGTTGGCGCCTGTGCCATGCAGGGCCGCTCCAAACATCCTGCCGCCGCTGGCCCCAAGCAGCGCGGTCGATTTCAAGCGCGGCCGCCTGCCAGATGGGGCTGCGGCAGGGCTGCCCATGGCCACGCCGGCCGCAACCACGGGAGGGCAGCTGCTGCAGAAGCGGGCCGCCAGCAGCGCCTCGGCTGCCCGCCTCCGCGCGCTCTTTGATTGTTGAGCGCCGTTGGAATCACATGGCTGAGACCCAGAGGAGGCCGGAGTACCTGCCGCCGCCGGCACCGAGCTTTCGCGCTGCTTTTCGGCGCTGGTGGCAGGCGGCGAGCCCCTAGGTGTACGCGGCCCCGGCGTTGTGGACGGCATAACGCTGTCGCGTTTGCTGCTCGCCGCGCCTGCGCTGTCGCCGATGCTGCTGCTGCAAAGGCTCTCAGTCAGCCCCCAAGCAGGTGGTGTCGCTGCCGGTAGCGGCGGCGCACAGCACAGGGCTCCGCAGCCGTGGCCGCAGCAGCGGCTGCTGGCGCCGCTGCTGCAGACTGCAATCAGTCGGGCACCTGCTGCTAGTGCGCTGAATTGCCAGACGTGCGGGTGCTGAATTGTACGGGCGCCTTGTAGAAGCAGGCCCAAGAACATGTGCGCACGGCGGCCGGCTAAGGTATTTCCCACAGCACCACCCGCGTGCGAGGGGCTGGCACGGCAGCAAGCAGTGAGCTTAAACGAGTAAGTACAGTAAGAATCTAAATTTTGCACGGGGTCACACCTCGTGTGTCATATATGATCGGAAGCAGCTGATCTTGGCTACTGGAACGCGAACTCGTGACCGAGGCCTTCCAGCGTTATTCAAAGCCCATTGGGTAGGAAAAACAACCAAAATTCATCAAATACACACCACCTGTCCTACACCGCACCCTACCTTCCCCAGCGACCGTTGCCAAGCTTTCGAAACAAATCATACCGAATCCAAGACGACCAGGAAGAACAAAAGCACCGGTCGAACCCATGCACTCAGCTACGTTGGCAAGGGCCCGCGTGTCGCACCAGCCGTGCTGCCTCGATCGAGCCCGTCAGCAACTGGTGGCGTCGCGCCGCGATGTGGCACGGCCATCTTGCCTTGCTCCCCTCAATGTGGGGGTTCGCCGTGTCACCACAAACATGCTCTTTACCTGGGAGCTGCAGCCCGTTCAACCGAAATGCCAGCAGTGCTGTCAACCCCGCTCTCAACCATGCCAGGCGCCTTGTGACCTGCACCTGCTGTGAGCGACGCCCACATGCACCCCACACGCGTGCACACACGCCATCGCACGGGCAAACGTCGCAGGCCTTCGAAACCGTTGCGGACGCCATGACGCAGGGCGACATCTACACATGTGGTCCCGACGATACTGTTGACAGCGGTGGGTGTCCTGCGAAGAAGTAGTAGGAGGGGGGGTTGAGGTCGCCGGGAGCGCCGGCATACCACAGGCTTGCTGCTATTCCTGCATGCTGGCCTGAACTCCAGGCGGCCATCGCCGCCGCCACGCACGCCGCGAGACCCCCGACGGCCCAGCCAGCCGCTGCCCCCCTTTTCCTGCTCGTCGCACTTCGCACTCGCACGGCGCACACCACCACCCGGCATCCCCGCCGTTTGCCCATATGGGACTCTCCGGCCCCGCTCGGCAGCCCTGGAGAAGCTGGTGCGCCACCGCGTGACTGGTCTGCCGGTGGTGGACGCCTCCAACCGAGTCGTGGGGGTGGTGTCAGACTCGGACCTGCTGGCGCTGCACAACCTGGGCCGCGTCAAGGACGACAGGCAGATGTTCCCAGCAGCCGATGAGACGTGGGCGGTGCGTGCGCAGAGCCCGCCCAAGCGGCAGGGGAGGGCGGCGCTTGTAGCAATGTGTGCAGCCGCAGGGCTGGCCGCTGCACTCAAGGCCCAGGGGGGGGACAACGGGCCCCACCTGACCTAGGCTCTACAGCTGGCAAATGCGTTTCAACCCGAGCAGCTTCTGTGTGCGGCGTACGCAGAAGCTGAACACGCAGTATGCAGCACCATGATGGATGCTGCACCCATCACGGCGCTGCATACTGCGCTGAAGCCACTGATGGCCGCCGCGGGAAAGTCTGACCAGCGTTGCCCAGCCCTTGCGCGCTTGCGGGATACTGCCCTGTTGCCGCAGGCCTTCACAGAGGTCAAGCGGCTGCTGGCCAAGACGAGCGGCAAGAGGTGAATAACGTCAGGCAGCTGTGCGCCGCGGCCCTGGATGAGTGTGCGTCATTGCCAGTGCGTGTACTCAAAAGTCTGTGAGCTGCCCTTCAACGACGCATTAATGTTTGTATGCCCAACACACCACAGCTCTGATGTGCCACACCCTGATTGGATGGCCGTCCTGAGCCCCTCCGCTGCCAGAAACACCGGCTCTGCGCATCGGCGCTGCACCCGCATGCGCTGCTTGCAGCGTGCGCGACGTCATGACCGAGAACCCCATAACTGTCAAGCCGACTGCAGACCTGGACGAGGCGGCCAGGTGGATGCACGGATTGGCCCCACGGCGTTCAGCTGCAGCAGCTGGCAGGCATGCCTTCCCATCAGCCGCTCACACATGGTACACGCCCGTGCTTTATGCGTGCAGCAAGATCTGCACTCAACACCGACCGCCTGTGTCCCCAATCGCATCACAACGGATCATGACAGGACCCTGCTCATCAAGAAGATCCACCGGCTGCCTGTTGTCGATGAGGAAGGGCAGCTGGTAGGAGTTCTCTCGCGTTCAAACCTGGTCAAGGCTGCCCTGGCGCTGCGCTCACAAACCGCCGCAAATTGAGCGCTGGTCAGCTGGTGGTTGCCAGTGGTGGATGGTGCGTGCTGCGTGGTGGAACGCGTTGCGTGGACAGCAGACAGCCGCGGCCCGTCATCTCCCCGGCTGGATGATATTGTCAAATTTTAAGGCATCCATATCATCGCACGGAGAGGGGCATTCGTGCGTCAATTCCCTGGTGCATCTTGGCAGGACGTGGTGCCAGCTTGCGTGACTTTGAATGGCGGCTGCCGGAGTGCGGGAGGTGCGATCCACAGCTGTAGCAGGAATATGAGAGCATGTTTCTCCAGTTATTCCGCCCGCCACCAACGGCTTCACCGCCCGTAGTCACATGAAAGACAATGCTCGGTTTGATCAGTGTGGGTCGGGTGACACGAGCTTGTGATGGAAAGTTGCGTAATAATAGAAATATGTGGGACTATTTCACCCGTTTGCGACCTGTGGATCGAACTTATTCGGGCGGCTCAAGGTTCAAGGTTCCCGACCGCTACACACTGGAGACAGGCGCTTCTCTGGGGCGCTACCCGCGCTTATTCGGCAGCCGTTGTTTTTGTTATTCAGTGAGGGCCTTCTGCCAGCATTCTGCTGTCGCCCACCAACGAGGAGCAGCCCACTTGCATCCCCCCGGACAGCCTCCATCGAGGCGTGCCCGCTCGAGTGCTTGGGGCTCCCAAGCGGCGCCCATAATTGAAAGGTGTGCATCCATTTCATACATACTGGGATGAGGGTCCCCCAGTGAGGGGCGGGTGCGGGCACCACCCTCGCCGCTTGCTTCGTCCAGGGGTGGGCAAGGCGATCGCCCGCGCGCTGTTTGAGTTTGCTCTTCGTCCTAACTCAGCAAAATTCAACACTGGTCATCCCTCGCCGCGGGCTGCAGAGCAACGAGGAGCTGCTGCATCCTTCACTGGGTCTTGGAGGAGGAAGCCCTCCCTTGACGCAGCCAAGGGTGAGCGGCGGCAAAAGCTCACCACAAATGGGATTCACGGTGTTGAACTCGCCCTGAGCTCAGCCAGCCTGCCAACCGTCCGTCGACAGGGGAAACGTATTCGCGCGCACCCTATAGGCCGCTTCAGGCCTTGTCAGGTGCTGAATATGGCTGATAGAAGCGTGGGAAGGCCACTTGGACCCACAGCGGGGCGGCGGTGGGCGCGCAGCGCTGCTAACCGTTGGGCAGCTCGCTGCGCACGCACCCGCCGCAGTGCAGTGCATGCGTTTGCCCGCCGCGGCCTTACATGGCTGCATGCATCCTGTGCGGCGTCGCATGGTGAATCAGTCAGCAACCAGCCGCACGCGGCCGTTTCTCATGACGAGCAAGGGCTCAGCCGCTCGGTTGGCGAGGCCGTCGCAGAATTTGGCGCAACTGACCAAATCCCCCGCCAAGTGGCTAGAGCCACCCAAGTGTGGCGTGCACCCAAACAAAACATGTATGCACGTGTCTTCCCCCTCGCCCTGAACCTGACAGATAGCCTCTTGCAGCGCGCCACGCTCACGCGGGTGGCAGTGCTGACGGGGACGCGTCGGCTGCCCGACAGGCGGCGGCGGCGCAGCGGCGGCGGCGGCGGCCAGACGCAGCGGCAGCGGAGGGCGCCCTCGCGGCGCCGGCGGCAGCGGCGGCAACAATGTGGTGGTACATTGCGTTCGGCATCGTTTTCAGCGTGTATGCCATAGACCTGCTGTTCCTATTCATCGCATCCCTCTTTGCAGCGGTGGTCGAGCACTTCGTGCCGCCGATCAGCACAGCGGCCTGCCGCGCGGCCAAAAAGCGGCAGCGCCTCGCGGCCGCGAAGCAGCAGCACTCGGGCATCAAGGCGCGCGCCGCGGCAGACGTCGCCAAGGCGAATGGCGCCGCGGCCAACGGCCGCGCGGCGGCGGCCGGCGGCAAGAACCCCGACCTTGCCATCGTCGTCGACACGCGCAGCAACGGCGCGCTGCCCTCGGACCCTGTCAAGCCATCGGGCGTCCCCGGGGCCGACAAGTACGGCCACCTGACTGACCTGTACCGCGGGGAGTTCCCCAAGGTGATGATCCAGCTTCCGATGTACAACGAGGACGCCCACTGCGACCTCATCATCCAGCGCTGCTGCAAGATCATGTGGCCCAGCCACCGCATCCTCATCCAGGTGGGGGCATGGGCCGGGGCCGGCTGGCAGGGCGCGCAGGCGCGGCGGAGCTGCTCGGTGGGGGCGCAGCACAAGGGGCCCCGAGGCCCGCTGCGCCCTGGGCGGTTGGTTGGCCGCGCACCCCTCAGCATTACGTCCTCGCCTGGCCCGCCGGCCGCTGTCGAATTGGCGCCCCGCCGCGCGGCCGTGCGAGCTGCGCGCGACTCCCAAGTGCAGCCGCGCCCGCTCTCGGCCCTCCTCCTTTGCACCCAGCAGTGGCACCCAAGGAATCTCCTCCCTAACTGCTCCCAACCGACGCCCCAAAACGCACAGGTCTGCGACGACAGCACCCGCGAGGCCGTGCGCAAGAAGGTCGACGCCGCGGTCATCTCGGCGCTGGAGCAGGGCCACAACGTGCAGCTCGTGCGCCGCGACAACCGCAGCGGCTTCAAGGCCGGCGCGATGGTTGACGGCATGAAGCGGGTGGAGGACCAGGGCTTCGAGTTTGTGGCCATCTTCGACGCCGACTTCGAGCCGCCGGAGGACTTCTTCTACCAGACCATCGTCCACATGATGCGCGACGACAACCTCGCGTTTGTGCAGACCCGCTGGACCTTCACCAACAGCAACAGTCTGCTGACGTGGGCGCAGAAGGTCGGGCTGGAGTTTCACTTTGCGGTGGAGCAGCGCGCGCGGTCGTTCCTGGGGCAGTTCTTCAACTTCAACGGCACCGCGGGCGTGTGGCGCATTAAAGCCATCAACGACGCGGGCGGCTGGGAGAGCGACACGGGTGCGTGGCGGTGGCGGGGGGCTTGCGGGCGGGGGGCCGCCCAGGCGCCGGCTCTGGGGGCCCCGCTCTGGCGGCTGCTGGTGCAGGCAGTGTGAGCGAGCACGACGGCCTGCGGCGCCGCTGTTGGCTGATAACTGCCGTTGGCTGAGCTGATGGCTTCGGCTTGCACCAGCTCTGGCCTTGGGAGCCTCCCGACCCGCGAGCGGCTCCCTTGGTCGCCTCAGAACCAAGCCTCCTGACAGCATCCCGCTGACAGTGTGTTGCCGCACCCCGCAACCCCACTGTGTCCACCAACAGTGGTGGAGGACGCGGGCCCGCCCAGCTCTCAAACCCCACAGGACAATCATCATGCCCACCGCTAGCCCCACCGTACCAACACCCTCCACAGCCAGTTGACTTGCCCCTCCAACACCCTCCACACCCTCCCCTGCTGCCGTGCCCCCCCCCCCCAGTTGTGGAGGACATGGACCTGTCGCTGCGCGTGTACCTGCGCGGCTGGCGCTCCCTCTACCTCCACGACGTCTGCTGCCCCAACGAGCTGCCCTCCACGCTCAGCGCCTACAAGACGCAGCAGTTCCGCTGGCTCTCGGGGCCCATGCAGGTGCGGGCGGGCGCCCGGGGCTCGCCCCTTGGAGGGGCGGGCGGCCGGCCGGCCGGCCGACGGTCAGCTGCTGGTGGCATGCACCCTCATTTCTGCTCTCCGGCTCGGCCCGCTGCCCGACTGCCACCTCCAAAACCCTGAACCCCAAGTTTCAACCCAAACCCTGAACCCCAACCTCCAACAACCCCTGAACTTGTTTGATGCACCCTACACTCCAGATTGTGCGCAAGAGCTTTGCGAACATCTTCTTCTCCAAGGAGATCGGCTTCTTCTCGAAGCTCAACTGCTACTGGTTCTTCTGCCGCTACTTTGTGTTCGCCCTGGTGACGCTGGTAGCGCTCCTCGCATCGCCCATCGTGCTGTGGCTGGACCCCTGGGTGTGGGGGTTCCCGACGATCTTCTTCCTCGTCAGCGCGAACGTGGCGGTTGTGGTGTACCTGTACTTCACAATCCTGTCGTACATCTTCCTGCTGTTCAGGTGGGTGGGCGCGGGGGCCTCAGAGCGTGTGTGTTTGTTGTGTTTGTGTGTGTTTGTGTGTGTGAGTGTGCACGTGTGTGAGTGCACGCGCGCTGAGAATCACTTTCATTTTGTGTTCTGGATGCTGTAAGAGTGGCATGGGGGACGGGTTAGAGAGCGGGGCCACATAGACAAAGGCCGATCGCGCCGGCACGTCCCCTCGAGCCTCGCCCCCTTCCCTCGGCCCCGCGCGGGTTGTCTTGGCCCCTCCAGCCCGGCCGGACCGCCGACTCCCGCGCGCCCGCGCCCGCCCTCCCAACTGCAGCGTCGTGCTGGGCTACTTCAAGATGTGGGCAATGATCAGCGGCATCCTGGGCCTGAAGAAGTCCAAGTCCTGGAAGGTGGGCGGGCGGCGCACGCCCCCAGCTCCCTCGCTCCCCCTCCTTACGGGAATCGTGCCTCCTGCAGGCGTTCGCACGGCGGCCGCCGCTGGTTTCACGCTCGCCCACCCACTCGTCAGCCCGGCCCCACCGACCCGCAAACCCGCCCACCTTCCGCCCCCCGCAGGTGACCCTGAAGTTTGCGGCCAACGACAACAACAGCTGGCTGCGCTCCTACCACAAGCCGTACACCCTCGAGCTCGCCCTGTTCGCCTACTATGGCGCCATGCTGGGCATGAGCATATGGACAGAGAACTGGGGGCTCACAGCATACAACGGGGTCATGTCGCTGGCGTTCCTCATTGTGAGCTTCGGCGACTACTTCTTGTAGGGGCCGCTCGGGCCCTCAGCCCCGCGGCCGACGAGCGGCGTCGGCTGCGGCGGCGCCTGCCTTCAGGCGCGGCCCGGCTCGCGGGAGCCAGCGCGGCGCACGGCGGGCCCGCGCGCGCCCGCGGCCTCTCGAGGCGGCCTGTGCTGCCCGGCGGCCGCGGGGCGCGCGGGGGGGCGGCCGGGCGGCACGCGCCGCTGGCGCAGAATGACGAATGGCGACGGATGATGAGATGATATGAGAGGGCCTCGGGGGCCGCCGGGCGCGGAGCGCGCGTGCTGGCTGCCCCCGCGGCGCAGGATTTGATCGGGTTCACGCGGTCGAGGGGCTGGCTGGTTTTCGGGCGCACGTGGGTGCACGCAGCCACCGCGCTTCGGCTGGGGCCTCGATGCAGCGCAGCAGTGAGAGCCGGCCTGGGCTGGCGAGAGGGCTGAAGACAGGCGCACCCCGCTGATGGAGCGGCGTGCTGCAGATGCCCCCGCGCGCTGCGCATCGCAGCACCGCACATTTGCACCACCCACACGCATGCGCCGGTGCCATGCGCCGGCGGCGCTGTGAGGACCTGCTGACATGGACCTACCCCGGCATGTTGAGGGCGAAATCCACGCAGAGGGCCTTGGATGGGCTGGCAGGCACACGCCCTCGTTATAGGCGGTGCCCACGCGTGAACGCGCGGAGCCTAGCGACTGCAGAGTTTACCTAGCTGACGAGCCAGAAACACCCGTGAGCACGCGCCCGCTGCCCGCGGCCGCCCCGGTGGCGGGGCGCCGCCCTCACATGCGCGCGCCGCGCCGGCGCCGCGGGCGCGGGGCCGCCGCCTAGCTGCCGCGCGAGACATGGATGGCGCTGGACTTTAGAAGCCCTCTTTTCAGATGAACACTTCCACCCTTCTGGTTGGCCCGCCGAATCGCATGGCATCAACGCGCGCAGTGCCGAGTAGCCTCCCAGGCGCTGCGCGCTGCTGCCCTGTGCATGGCAGGCCTCGCTTCCCAACAGGAGGAGGGGGCGCGGGCACGCACGCGCCAATCTCTATATTTTGTGAGGTGGGGTGCGGCATCAGGGCCCCCTGGGCCCCTCTGGACGCGTTGGCCGCGCTCCCTCCCCTTCCCTCGCATGCGCAGCCTGCAGGTTGCGCTTACGCGCTCCCCTTGGCGCGCGCCTGTCTCTGTTCGGTAGCTTCACCAACTCAAAAACACGCGACGTCTGTAACGCATTGATCCCCTGACAACCTGAATCTTGAGGGCTTTTATGTGTGTGTGTGGGGGGGCGCCACCACGTGGCCTCAGGCCGGGGTGTGGAAAGAGGGGAAGGGTTTGACAGATTGACCGCCAACATCAAGGATCCCAACCAACCCAAGCACAAACGTCGATGGCACGTAGTCTGTGCGTGCGGTCCGCAAGGGCACCAGACCGCCCTTGCGCCCGAGCCACACAGGCGGCTGCGAGAGAAAGCCAGCTCTGCACACCCAATCTGCAGTCGTCGTCCTCTTGCCAGTTCAGCCAAGGGAGCAACCATGAACCCGCATATTGCAGTAATGCCGTATTCCGGGGATGTACTGCCTTGGGCTCAGGGAACGGCCCCACACCATTGCTCTGAAGGGCAGTGCAGTTGGCGGTAGTAATAATCGGCACCAGCGGGATCCTGGGCGCACACCCCACGGCATGGCTCTGTCACCGTCAGATTACTAGGTGATATCATTGTTTCGTAAAATTGCTCTGGCCAAGGAGATGCGACTGTCATAGCCGGAGCGCAGCCCAAGATGGCGGAGGGCTACGGCCTCAGGGCCCGGCGCAAGCGCCCTCCTCCGTGAGTGGAATTCTATCCGGGTGTACTCCTCATACTGAGGTGGCCAGCTGCCCTTGGGGTTCAGCTAAAGGGTTAGGTGCGCTCACCTCTCTTCTACACCACGCTTCACAGGCGCCAAGAGCCCAGTGAGCTTGACCAGCTGCTTCATCTGGCTGAGAAGAGCAGTAGAATCGTGGTTTTCACGGGCAGCGGGCTGTCTGCAACCTCTGGTGTGACTCCGGACATCGCAAGCGGCATCCGCCGCTTCGCACGCTCTGCGTCGCATGCACAGCCCCCGAAGCCCGTCGTGCCCTGGCATGCCGGCCATGCAACCCATTTGCCACCTTCACTGCGCCTTTGGCTGCCCGTGCCGCGCCGCTGAGATCGCTGCACATTCCACTGCTTGTCGAGGCTGATGAAGTCATGGCGCCATGCGTCCCCCGCCCCCAAAACTGGCCGCATGCTCAACAGGCATGTCCATGTTCAGCACCAAGGGCGGCCTGTACGAGCGCGCCCGCAAAAAGTTCAAAATAACAGACGGCATCAAGCTCTTCAGCTACCCCTTTTACAAGCAGCGGCGCGTCGATGTGCAGGTCTGTGGCGCTGGCAGTCCACCCCAGAAGCGCAGCCTGCTAGCGATATCGGATCCTGTGTCTGACGCCTGGGGTTGCAGCAGGCTCAAGGACCCCCGCGGCTCCCCCTTCGTTGGAAGCTCTTCAACATTGGGCACAACGCGTCTTGTACACTCAAACCTCGCAGGCCTTTTTTGCACAAATCTACTCTGAAGCCCAATCCAGCCGAGCCGCGCAGGTCGGGCAACAGGGCGGAGCGGGTCACGGCTGAGCAAGGGCATGCATGCTGTTTGCACATGCGTCAGCCCTAGATCATGAGTGTGCATGCTGTGCAAAGACACACGTGCTCGGACTTGCGCATGCCCGCCGGGGAATGCGCACAACCATGCATCAGCAGCCTGCCACACACACACAAACCACACACACATACACACACACACACAAAAACACACACACATACGCGCGCGCGTGCATGCACACACACACACACACATGCACATGTGCGCACATTCCCACACTTGCAGGGCCACCATGCACTGGCCGAGCTTTGGCGCATGGGGGTGTTGGCGCGCCACTACACCCTCAACATTGACGGCCTGGCAGAGGTGGTGGGGATGGACACATGGCACCACGAGCACAACCCCAACGGTGTCACTGTGGAGATGCACGGCAACATCAGGTGTGGGAGTCAATCGGGCGGCGGATGCCGTGGGGAAGTTGTGCTGACTGCAAAACGGGGCTAGCTTCTGGGATGCCTGTCTCTTGTGTTTGGTCAGGCATGCACCCCCCACGGGGTTGAAGAAACAGAGGATGATGCGCGGCCCTGCCGCTGCATGCCTCGCGCGGCCTGCAGGGACATGGTGTGCCCGGAGTGCCACGCGGTGGAGGTGCTGTCGCGGCCAATCATAACAGCCATGAAGCAGCGGCAGCCGGTGCCCTGCACCAAGTGCGGCCAGGGCGAGATGCGGTTCAAGGTGGGGAGGAGGGCCCGACTTTGGGCGGGTTTCTGGGGCGGGTTTTGGGGCGGGTTTGTGGGGTTCGACGGCATCCCCAGGTGATGACGTGTGCTTAGTCCTGACAAAAGGCTCAGCGCAAAAACCAGCTGCTCGCAGCGCACATAAGTGCAGGCAGATGCATCCGCACCCCACATGCTCGCATGTATGAGCGCGCGTCCTCACACTCAAGCCCATGCAAGCACGTACACGCATGGACACGCGACAAACCCCATCAGGTGATGCTATATGACGATGAGGAGGGCGACTGCATCACCCCAGAGGACGTGTGGGAGAGCCTGGAGGCTGACCTGGCGCAGGCGGACATGGTGATCTGGGTGGGCATCAGCTTCGAGCAGAGCGCGTCGACAGAGTACTTCCGGAAGGTGGGGGCGCGCTGCTGGGTGGGGCGTGGGGCGCAGCTGTGTGCCCAGCTTGGAGTATTTCTTGGGTCAAAGGCTGCGGCAGGCAGCAGGTGGGGCCGCAGGGCAGCCAGGGATGCTGGCGCCCGCTCTCGCTGGGAGCAGGGCAAGCGCGAGCCGCGGGCCGTGCAGGGTTGCGTGGGCGGAGCTGCACCGCTCCAGGCCCGTCCTTGCGGCGCTGCCGCGCCCCTGTTCGACAAACCCGCTATCCTCAAACCCCTGGGCAGGTGCGCTACTTCTTGTCGAGCATGGGCCGCCTGGACGCCTGCCGCCAGGTCCTGGTCAACCCCAGCGACGAGGCGCTGTTCAACCTGCTGAGCAGCTGCGCCAACAGGCGGGACGTCAACGTGCTCGAGGTGCTCGCGGGCGCCGACGATGTGCTGACGTCGCTGGCGGAGCGGCTCGGCAAGCTGCACGCGGGCAAGCCGCCTGCCGCCGCCGCGGCGGCGGTGCAGGGGCCCGCGGCGGCGCTGGGCGGTGGCACGGGGTCCAAGGGCGGCGGCGACGGAGGGGAGTGTGCGGGATTTTCTGGAGGCCAGCACTCCGACGGCAGGCAGGCGCTGACGGACGGCCAGCAGGCACAGGACGGGCAGCAGCAGCGGGGACAGCGCGAAGGCGTCAAGCAGGAGGCAGAGCAGGAGATCGCAGCCGCGCGCCAGCAGCAGCAAGAACAGGAACGCCCCGCAAGCCGCGGCGCCAGCGGCGGCGGCGCCGGCAGCCCCGGGGACCCGCAGCAGCACGCGGCCCGGGCGTGCTCCCTGGAGCGCGCTGCCTCGTCCCAGGGCGCCAGCCGCCAGCAGCTGCGGCTGCAGCAGATGGAGGAGTGGCACAGCTCACGGGGCGCGGCGGCCGGGGGTGTCGAAAGCAACGGGGCTGCAGGCCAGTCAGAGGAGGAGGCGGAGGAGGAGGGGCGGCAGGGGGAGGATGGAGGGGGCCTCAGGGCCGACCGCCGCAGGGCTGCGCATCAGCAGCGGCGCCACCTGCAGCGTGAGGCGCAGGAGCAGGAGCTGGCGCGGCTGCAGCAGGCGCACGCGCTCGCGGCAGTCCTGATGGCGGGCGGCGGGGGCGGGGCGCTTGGTGGACTGGTGTCTGGGCTGGGCCTTGAACTAGGGGCGGCAGCGCCGCCGGCAGGCCTGCTGCCGGGGCTGGCGTTGCAGGCGCAGCTGCACGCACAATTGCAGGTGCACCAGGCGGTGGCAGCCGTTAGCCAGCCTCTCATGCCGCCGCTGGGGGGCATGGCGCTGCACGCACCACTGCCCCCACTCGCGCTCGCCACCGCCCTGGCAACGGCCAGCGGCGTGAACGCCGCAGTGGCGGGCCTATGGCCACCCGGGGCGCCGCAGCAGCTGCTGCCGCTGGCGCAGCCGCTGTCTATTGCGGAGCTGCAGCTGCCGGTGTCGCTGGCGTGCTCTGCGCCGCCTGCCTCGGCCCTGTTGCAGCACCAGCTGCAGGACGCCGCCTGCGCAGCCACCCCTGCTGGCAGCCAGCAGCAGCAGCAGCAGCAGCAGCAGCAGCAGCAGGTCGCAGCTTTGTTGGGCCTTGTTCAGCAGCAGCAGCAGCAGCAGCAGGCCCAGCAGCTGCAGCTGCAGGCCCAGCAGCTGCAGCTCGCAAGCCTGGATAGTGCAGCGCTCTTGTCCACAGGGGGCCTCGGCGCGGGCGCCGCGCCGCAGCTGGCACTGGCTGCGCTGCTGCAGCCGGCACCGATCGCGCCCAGCTGACCCGCCACAAGATGTCGACAGCATGCGTTTCTCCAAGCTGCTAGGGCAGACCCACCGCCTAGTGCCTTGAGGTCCTTTTTGAGAGCGACTCTACCCAAATAGACATGTCTAGGGCTTGTAGCAGCTTGCAAACCCCTCATCCTCTGTTTAATGGTGACTCAAATCATTTCTACACCTCTGCAGCCAGCAGCTGCCCTCGACTGCTTCCTGCTCGTGCCCATTGCTGCGCAGCACATGCGCGTCACGTGAAGACCCACTCGCTAATTTCAAACACCCCACATAACACCCTCGTGTAATCCTGTGAAGCTGCTGCTTACAATATTACTCAAGACGCCGCTGGCTAGCGAGGTCCGCGTTGCATCCCGACGCGTTGCTGCAAGCGGCATGCACTTGGCTTTGAGGCGTGCCGCCCGCGCCAGTCGCGGGGGCCCCAGCGCGGCGGGACGGGCGCGGCCGAGCGCAAAAGGCTCACAGCGACGTTTCAAGGTGGACGACGGGGAGAACACACAATGCTAATAGCTCGAACAGGGCGCGCATGCCGCAATTCAGGGGGCATCTGGTGCCTCGCTCTGCAGGGGCCGAAGAAGGAGTGAGGCGCTCCGGCCTGAGGCGTGTGGCCGGGCCTCGCGCCCGCGGGCCCGCCCCCAAAACCGGCAGAAAGAGGTGACCCTGCGTTATTTTTAACGCGGCTCGGCCTGGGCCCACTAACGCGCACGCAGCGGGCTCGCTGCAGCGCTCAGCGCAGCCGCCCGCCAGCACAAGCCTTGCGCGCCACACATGGCCGTCCGGCGTGCGCTGGCGCCGCCGGCGGTCTGGTCGCGTGGACGGGCTGCCCTTCAGCGACGCAACCAGTGCCATAAACAGCGCCGTAGCCACGAGCCGGAAGCTCCGCCACGGGAGCGTCCTGCCGGTGCGCAGAAGCCTTGAGCACGGCGCACGGGCTGCCAGCGCGACAAGCCCTGCGGGCAGACGGCGGGGCCGGCGAGTGCAAGTGCTGACGATTGGGGGGTTATGGGCAGCGCAGAGCGCATAGATGCCGCAGCGCACAAGGAATTCCAGCAAAATCAGCCTCCCAAACTCGTGCACTAACAGAACCCAAGCATGCAGGGGCCTCCACAAGCGGCAGCCGCTGGCTGACTGAACAAGATATACAAAACATGCAGCTGCCCGATCGTCGCTTCGGAACGGAGGCCGTCCGGCAACAACAACATCGCGACCCCTCGCCGAGCCCGTGCCCAGGCGCACGCAAGCCGCGGGCGCTCACCCCCAGGCGCGGCGCGGCCTTCATCCCGGCGGCGCCGCCTGCTTTGCGCGCGCCACCAGCATGCGGTACAGCCGCGAGTAGACGTTGTACTGCGGCGCAGGTGGGAGTGGGGG